TATATATATTACCAAGATCCTCCTCCTCCTAACATCCCATTCCAAAATCCATTAGTAGATTCTCCAGCAGGCTGATGATGATCTCTATTATTCTCATTAGCACCATCATTTGTAGTATTTGTGGTTGAAATTTGTTTTAAACCTACAAAAGGAAACAAAAACCTTCCACTTGTATTTGTCTCTTGGAGATTATTTCCATAGGCTGCATTTCCAAGTCCATGATCCAATGAGAAATTTAGAGATGGCAAAGAAAATCCAGATGAGTTATTATAAACTGAATTTGGATCAGAAATATTGGCCATTGACATAAATGAATTATTATTCATCCCTCTTGATGTAATCCCATTAATTAATTCCAAAGCTGAAAGCTGAGATGACGAAGACGCAGAAGAAGAAGAAGATGGAGGAGGAGGCAAAGGTGAAATACTTGGACTGTTGTTGTCCTTGTTGCTTGCATCATAATTTGGTACCTGTTGATTTTGAAGGAGCAGGAGTCAAAATCAGTAAAGCAGCTCGGACACTACTGATATAAAAAAAAAAATCAAAATCAAAAATGTATTTCTGAACGAATTATCGTAATTTTGAGAAGTCGAGTAGCTAGTAACGTTAGAACATATAGTTTAGACAACAATCGTCACTTAACATGCACATTTACACATACATAAATACAAGTGACTTTTTGATTCCTCAAAACATTCATAACATAACATTAATTTTGACCCGATTAATTATTTCGAAAAGACATCTTTTAAAACAAATAACAACGCATAAAAGATTCTAGCTTTTGTTGTTGTCACTAATCTATTATTTATTTTCGTCTTCTTGAGTAGCAGGTGTTTCGAAAACAGCCTTCTTCCCCTTTGGCAGGGATAAGATATGCGTATACTCTACCTTCCCATACCTCAATTGTAAAATTTTACTGAATTGTTGTTGTAGTAACAACGCATAAAAGAATCCAATGAATTCGAAAGAATTAAACGAGAAACTGTATGAAGTGAAAGTACCTGAATTAGCTCAGTGATAGTCTTGAAATCGGATGAAAAACCCAAGTTAAGATCTTGGCTCCCTTCAATATGGATCTTACTAGGGTTTTGATCATGATTATGAGATGGTGGATTAATCAAATCAGGAAGTTTTTTCAAAGGATTATTAACATGATTTGAATAGGAGGAAGAATTAGAGGAAGATTTCTTGTTTTTTCTTGAACCACCACCAACAGGAATATTTCTAAGAGATCCACCAGCAGTCCAATATCTTCTACAAGTCTTGCAAAAATACCTTGGCTGAGAAAGACTATAGTTATTGTAGTAACAAAACTTTGTGTTTGTTGAATTACACCTTGGACAGTTCAAAGCTTGGTCTTTTTGTGGCCTAACTTTTCTTTCTACACATGAATTAGGTTTTGATGAGCCATTTGTGTTTTGTATTATCTCTTCCATTGGCTTCACCATTATCTCCTACAAAAAAATAAGAGGAAAACAATGAACAATATTTTTAAATAAATATATATGTGAAAAATACTCAAATTTCAACAACTATTAGATTCTGATCAATCTATATATAATTTCAAAAGTATAGTAATTCAGTGGTAAGAATTTAAAAACGGACTATATAAAATTTAAATTTTAGATCCTGAATTTCATGACGAGAAGTGCAAGACGGCCATCAGCTAGCTAGTAAGCACCACAAAGATTTTCAGATGAGTAATTAGAAAGGGAAAGGAAAAAAGTCAGGTGCTTTTACTTTAAAACTTTAACTGTAGTTTAATCTTTTTCACTTTCTCAACCTTTTCATAATCACATATATGTATAACAAAAAAGAAGAAGTGTAGAAACAAAAGAAATAGAGACTAGAAAGTGGGGAACTATCATCTTTTCTCAAAAGTAAATCAAGATTTTTATCTACAAAAACTCTAATCCAAAAAATATAGAAAAACAAGAATTAATGAGATCAAGGGAAACAAAGAAAAGACTAAGCTGAAGGATCTCTTTAAGAATTCTCTTAGTTTAATTATACCTGAGGCCATTGAACAGTATCCATGGATGAAGAAGGAGGAAGAAGCAAAGGAGAAATGGAGTTTTTTTTTCTTTCTGAAAAGGAAAATAAGCAGCTTTATGAACAAGTGGTTTTAAAAGAAGAAAAAGGAATGTTTGAGACGTTTGGTGGCTGTTGTATGTGCTTTATGTTTGTGGGAAGAAAGAGAATGAATAATATATTTTTATGTTTCTCTCTAGGATTTTGATATTTAACTTGATTAATTCGAAATTGCAACAAATATCACTTTAAACGGTATCTAAGGTTTGAATCCGAAAAATCTAGTTATGTCAGCCCACTTAAGGTAGAGAAATTTATTATTAAAGGCGACTCGAGTTCGAAACTCTAATAAAAATAAGGAGTAATTATTACTCCACCATAACAATTCATAATTGAAGTATGTTCTTTTTCTTTAACCTATTGACTATATGTACAGTAGTAGTAGTTTTTTAAATTAGTTGTGGAAGAATATGTGTCTTTTCAGAAATAATATTTATATGTGATGGTGAAGTTATCTTTTCTGACTCGAGAGGAGCCTGGCATTAAGTCAAATTGGTCTCTTTTTATATTATATTCTTAAGCATATGAGTTATCTTTAAATTTACACCTTATATCGTTTAACTCTTAGATCCGTGTGATAATCATGTCTGTAAATTGCATCGTCACTTCTTTCAACTGGCCCCATTACTAGTTTGAAGGAACAAAAGGTTTAGATGGGTTTTTAAGAACTTTTTAGATTCAGAGTTTCTATTACGCATTGGATTTATTTAGCTGGAAAAAAAGAACAAAGGAGAAGTGAAACAAGTAAAATATTGTCACTAGATGAAAACTTGAGTGATTTTAAAAAACAAATCCTTTCACAAGCCAAAAAAAGGTACTAGTATATATAATATTGTTGCAGTTTTTGCATTAAGGCTCTTAATTTGTAGCTCAAAGTCTCAAAACAACAAAGTTAATTACCAAGGTATATTATAAAAAATTGAACTATTAAGAGATGTCTGGGATGGAGAACTTTAATCAAATTCTCACATTCACGTTAGGAATGAAGAAACTTTTAGTAGGGAATACAACATTACTTTTTTTATTGAGTATATTTGACTATAACTTGAATAATTCCATATATAATAGACTTACGACTAGTTATAATTAGGAAGAAAGAAAATAAAAGAAGTTAAAAGAACTATGATGTTTCAAGTTCAAACTCCAGCAGTGTAAAAAAAAAAATTAGGTGATCTTTTCTTATTTGTCCAAAACCTTAAAGGACAAAATTATCGATAGGTCGATACCTCTATTGATGGAAAATAATAATTACCCCGTAAAATTGATTAATATGTACGCAAGTTAATTAACTCTGAATAATATGACTATAAAAATATAGATGATGGTAATTTTATTTGACCTAAAAGGAAGGATGGTGACATATATAGTGTAGGGTCGAGGGAACCAGCACATAGAATAGCACTCCACGTTAGAAATGACTAGACTTCATCCATAAAGTAAAAGCACTCAAAACCTCTCTTGCCGCCACAGAATAGCACTCCCCATGTTTTAATTAATGGATTTTAGGGGTGAAATTAGAAAGCTAGTTTTGAGTTTGGCCGAATTCAATATATAGTTTCAATCTAAATTTTATTTTGTTTTAACAAATCCAATAAATATGTATAAAAGTTAAATTCAAAATTTAATAATTAACACCTGAGATTACTATTCAGAAATTTAGACTCATAAAGTTCAAGGTATGCGTTTGTAATTTTAGGGTTTCATATCTCAAAACATTTTATTATGTTGATAAGCTATATTGCTTTTTTTTTTTTTTTGTTGCTAAAACGACGAGATGTATTAAAGCAGAAAATTAAAAAGTGTTATTACAACATGGAACCGTTCTTAACGATGCAACTCCTAACAAGTCTTTGCGGTAATTAAAGAAAGCAAATAAAGGCACTGAGCCCCAAAATGTGTCTTCACGTTCAACATATCCTTCCAGCATCTATGTACTTGCGTAATGTGCTAGAACGTGTGCGACTGAGTTTGTTTCACGGTATATGTGCTTGACTGGTGGCTGATCCATTGATGCGATGAGGAACCTGCAATCATTAGTAAAGTTATGTGAGCATCATTAGTCATGTGAGGTTTTATGATTATTGACAATACCTGACAGTCAGATTTCACAAACCCGGTTGCATTAAGTTTTTAGTAAAGGCTAGCTCTAGTCCATTCAATAGGGCTGTAAGTTCCGCTTGTAGTGGTGTATTGGCCACAACACGGCTAGACAACCCTACTATCCAGTTACCCTGGGAATCTCTAATGATTCCTCTTGCTCCTCCATAGTTGGAGTTTTTTCTGTGTGCACCATCTATGTTGAGTTTATAGATATTTTGTGGTGGTGGCACCTACCGTACTTGAATTCTTGTGGATTGCTGGTGAGTTATTCTCTGTTTGGTGAGGCTGAGGTATTCAATAGCTTGGGCAACTGGTGTGTTGCTGGCGATTGTTATGGAGGTTTTTTGAATAGGTTGTTGTTGCGGTGTAGTTAGATATGCCATAGAGTAATGGGTGTGATAGTGGATAATGTGACTTGTGTTTGGTTTGGTAGAGTTATTGAGTCAGTGGAATTAAATAGTTTTTTAATCCACATACTGAAATTTGGTGGATTAAAGTCTATATGTAAGGTGTTCCAGATGGGGGTGTTGCGTGGGCAATGGAGAAAGATGTGTCCTGGGTCTTCCACTAGATTGCATAGGGGACAAAGGGGTGATGAAATTATTTTTTTGTAGTATAACATGGATGTTGTAGGTAGGCATGTTAAGGTTAGTAGCCACATGAAGTATTTTAGTTTGTTATGGCAGTTGGCTTTTCCATATCCAAGAGTGTTCGAAGTCCCTTGGTGGTTGTGTAGATAGGCAATTCCTAATTAAAGAGTAGGCTCACTTTGTAGTGAAGGAGCTGTCATTGATTGGTTTCCAAAAAAAGTTATCTTTGACATTTTCGGAGAATGGTATATAGGTGTTGTGGATTAATGATTGGGTATTTGGAGGGAGTTCAAAGGATAATTTGCTTAGATATAATTTGCTTAGATCCCAATAATTTGGTTGTAATATGTGCGAGAGATTTGTCCCCAATTCCGTATTTGTTAGTGGACCTTGGATGAGAGACCACAGAGGCAAGCTATGCGATGATCCAGTTATCTTTTCAAAGGTTGATGTGGTTAACATTCGTTACATTCGAGGCTAATCCTTTTGCAAAGAATAATAGATGAGCTTTAGATAGGCTTTTCCACACATAAAAGTCAGCTGCAGTTGTGATGAAATCTTTGTGTTCTTGTCTTGCCTTGTATTTGTGACTTACCACCTGTGCCCATAGACTGTTGGGCTATAGTGGAGGCGCCAAAGAAAGAGCTAAATTTTTGCTCTTGAAATTAAAAAGACCTAGTCCTTTTTCTTGTTTTGGGGATATTACAGTATCCCAATTAACAAGGTGCATGGACTCTCTCTTTTTCTGTGGTTGAACCCCAAAGGAAGTCCCTTTAAATACGGTCTATATATTTTTTAGTAGACGTAGGCAGGTAATTGAGTTGCATAGAGTGTGTAGGTATAGTATACCTGTTAATCGGGTCGGACTGACCCGTTTACAGCCCGATTCAGCCCGGTCCAGCCCGGTTCAACCCGATACTGTAGCGTGGAGGGCGGGCTGGGACGGTTTGGGCAGGGAACGGGTTTCAATCGAATAATTTTTTGATACCGGTGCACCGGAACCCGCTAAGTGCGTTAACGGATTGTTAGCGGGTTACAATCCGGTTCAGCCCGTTAACCCGTTAATGGGTTGTTAACGGGCTACAGCACGGTTCAGCCCGTTTATTAACTTTTTATTTATTTATTTATTTATTTATTTTTAATGGACCAACTGAAACTCCTGATATTGACACTTGTATTTCTTATCTACACAAATATTTAGAAATATTATATAATTATTATGCTAACATTGTTGATGCTTCTTCTATTGTAGATGCAAATATTCCTTCAAGTTCAGTTTCAACATCTGGGACCAGTGCTTTGGATGATAATGATGGTGTTGAAGATTATTTGATTTGGTCTACAATAGGGGAGTATCAACAAATCAGTAGCAGGAATATCAATGAACTTCAATTCTACTTGCAAAAGTCAGCAGATCCCCGCACAAAGAAATTTCTACCATTGGGTTGGTGGAGGAGCAACTCAAATCAATTTCTTGTTCTTTCGGCCATGGCTCGAGACGTGCTAAATGTGCTGATTTCAACAGTCGCATCAGAGAGCGCATTTAGCCAAGCAAGGCAGCAACTAGGAGATACCCGTCATTAATTGGGTAGCAACGCTTTGGAAATTCTAGTGTGCTTCAGAGATTGGATAAGATCAGAACGACGAAATCAAGGGCGTGACGAGGTAGATAAAGCGGAGGACCAAGAAATTGGAGATATAATGGTTTATGGTTCTGATTCAACCAATGCCGGAAATCAAGAACCTCATGTTGACATGGATGAACTTACAAAAATGATGCAAAGCATGTGATGTACTATTTATTTTTTTATAATTGTTGTAAACTTTTAATTTGCAAGTTCAAAAATAACAAAATCAAAAAAGAACTTGCAACTTAATTTGAAGTATTATATATTATTCAATAAAAATATCAAATGAAAGTCTTCGGAGCTTGATCCTTACATATAGGTCTTATTAAATAATTTTTTGTAACCACTTACTTTCAAATTTTAATTTTAACATTATAAAATTCAAATTTAAAGTTTAAAATTTTAAACTTCAAAATTTAATTCTAAGCCTTAAAAGTTTACAAACACTTAAGTATCAATAACATTGAATAAGAAAAATAAAATTTACTT